TTTTACAAATGCTGTGAAAATACAGGTATCTGTATCGGGGAGTACCAAAAATGAAAGTATCGTATCGGACTCGTTCTGAAAAAAGTGGTATCGGTGCATCCCTACTTTAAAGTACATTTTAAATCTTTATGTTTTAATAATCTTTTGTCACACTTTAAAGAAATACACTTATTTTGATGTGTTGACTAACATTATTATAATTTCATCTGTAGTGTGCTCTTGGATATGACATTTAAAAATAATATTGTTGAAGTACTAAAATTACTAAAACTGAAATAAAAATAAATTACAGCTGAATAGAAATATAAAAAAACTCATACAAAAATGACAAAACAATACTAACTTAAAAATTAAAATGAAAGAATAAAAGCTTATTTAAAATATTAATATTAAAATATTGCTATAAAATGTAAACTCAAATTAAAATGAAAATATAAAAAATAAAAGCTAATTTAAATTTTATTAATAAATACTGTAATAACAAGTTTCAATAGAAATGACATTAAAGTGTATTATAGTTTACCATAACATACATTTGGCAGAACACTTTAAATGTATTTTTAAGACAGTAGAAGTAATTATGAAATTCCATATAAAGATATAAAGCACTCTTAAGTTTAAACTAATACATTTTCATTTAATTGTAAATAACATGCATTTAAGTGTACGAAAACATTAAATTCATTTCGCACTACAGTATATTGTTTCTGTAATAAGTGCTCTTTTTAAATAGTATGCTGAAGTGTACTTCTTTTTCACAAGGGAATAATAGCGATGCATTTGAGCTTCTAAGTTGCTTCAGATGAATATGTCTGGGAGATTTCTCATCTGGTTTAATATCTTCACCTCTGTACTCTCATTCCTCTCGGGCTCAGATCAGTAAGGCCACGACGCTGCAGAAGACGGCGGAGTACATCAGTAAGATGCAGCAGGAGAGAGCTCAGCTCCATGAGGAGGCCCAGAGACTCAGAGACGAGATCCTCACGCTCAACTCTGCCATCAAGTGAGTGCGTTTGGGCTATTTTACAACATGTGGTGAACATAGTTATGAGAGACATCTACATGAATGCGTGAGTGTGATTGTATCTGGACTGTGTGTATGCAGTGCGTGTCAGCAGCAGCTTCCGGCTACAGGCGTCCCAATAACACGACAGCGCTTCGACCACATGAGGGAGAAGTTCAGAGAGTACGTGAGGGCTCAAACGCTGCAGAACTGGAAGTTCTGGATCGTATCCTATACAAAGCGGTTTCAAATCTCAAATCAAATGGCTGATTGACAGAGAAAGTCTTGTTGGTTAAGCAACCCAGGTGAACTAGGTAAAAGAAATGAACTAACAGAGATCACCGTACTTCTACAGTTGATTAAAAATGTTTTTAAAATGTTAAGTTTAATGATTCAAATGATGCATTATCTAATTAAATATACACTCATTTGCATGCATTTCCAGGACAGAAATCTGAACATAGGACAGGTTCAAAAAAAATTTACGAAAGGGATTTTAAATATTTTTTTAATCACTCCATAAATCACAAAATAAATGTCAACAGCCAGAAGAAATACATTTCCTCCATGTTTTTAGGAATAAAATCAGTGTGAATTATGAACGAACACCTCTGTGAAGGTTGGTGTGAAACTTGAGTTTTGGATGCAAATAGATGAAGTGTAATAAAACAAACACTTAAATGCGTATAAACTACTAGTCTGAAAGAAGACATGCCATGCAAGCAAAATAGCTTAAAAATTGACCTGTGCATGAAAAAGACAATGCTTTTGCAGAGACCAGCATCCACAACATCTGTGCTGGTCCTTTTAGCATGATTCATTCTGTTAAGATGCAAGTCCTCCACGTCTTCATATTTTCCTCAACTGAAGCCGCTCTCTTAGTTCAGCATCCTCATCGAGCCGCTGTTTGAGTCGTTTAACGCTATGGTGTCCACAGCCAGTGTCGATGATCTGTGTCGCAGCACTCTGTCCTGGCTGGACCAGCACTGCTCTCTGCCTGCGTTCAGACCCAGTGAGTGAGCAGCACCTCTCTACAACCTTCCCTCAGACCTCAGAATCATTTACTGCCTTTCTGAACAAACCTCTTTTCAGCGTCCTGGCTTCTTAAGTTTATAAATTTGTTTATTTTGAACTGCATAGCATTTTACAAAGGAGTGTATCACCTTGATTTTACCACGGTTTAGGGGTGTTTTCAAGCATGATGGTAAACTTGCTGTAACCGCAAGTGGAAACAGCCGTATGATAAAAGTTACATTTATTATATTATTGCGTTAATTATACGTTATGATATGATAAAAAAACAATATATACACTATCATTCAAAAGTTTGGGGATGGTAAGTTTTTTTTAATATTAAAAGAAGTCTCTTCTGCTCATCAAGGCTGCATTTATTTGATCAAAAATACAGTAATATTGTGAAATATTATTGCAAATTGAAATAACAGTTTTCTATGTGAATGTATAGTAAACTGTAATTTATATCTGTGCTGCAAAGCTGTATTTTCAGCATCGTTCCTCCAGTCTTCAGTGTCACATGATCTTCAGAAATCATTCTAATATGCTGATTTGCTGCTCTTATTATTATCAATAACAAATCAAAATTTCTTTTTACTATATAATTACATTTTTTGTGGAACCATGATACATTTTTCTCAAGATTATTTAATGAATAGAAAATCTTAGAAACTTTATAACTCGTTAGCAATTTAGGATTAGGGTTTTGTTTTTGATGAATAGCAAGTTCAAAAGAACAGCATTTATTTGAAATAGAAATTATAAATGCTATAATTATATATGTCTCTACTGTCACTTTCAATCATTTTAATGCGTATTTGCTGAATACAAAAAATATTTTTTTTTCTGCCAAGCAACTTGGCAGTCATACAGAATTCACCCGAAATCACCAGTGTGTGTTTATCTGCATTTTACAACGGCAGAACCTGCTTATCCAATCAGAAACCGAGTCGGATCTATCAGATATTATCAGTTTTATCGTAATACTTCTACCATGTCTTGTCTCTGTGTTTCTCTCCAGCTGTTTTGAGTTCCCTCCGTCTGCTCTGCACCTCCACATCAATCCTCTCAGACCCCAGTCTGGTTCCTGAACAGGCCCTCCAGGCCGTCACTCACGGACATTCATCCCACAGCTACAGCCAATGACAGCACACGCTCGCAAAACCACAGCCAATCACACGACCCACATGCACATCCAATCAGAACACTCGTCCCCCAGCAACGACCAATGACATTTTACTCTCTCACAAATGCAGCCAATGATGCTCTTTCCCACAAATGTGCAAGTGCTTATTGATGGTAAAATGACTACAGCTTTGCTTGAGTTTTTATTATTTATAGGAAAACAGAGATGGTGATCAGAATTGATGCGGAGAAGAAAGAAGAATTGACGTGAGCCAGATTGAAACTCAGTTTATCGGATCAGAGGGTTCAGTATATTGTATTCAGTTCAGTTCATTTTTCACGTGCCGTTTAATGCCTCACTGATGAAGACACAGCATACGTTTTGTTCAAGTTCTGTTCTTACTGTTTTGTAATTCTCATAAAACTATCAGTCAGTGTGAGTGTGATACAGTAGGGCATATTATCTATAACGTTCTGTGCCTTGTGCATGTTTCCACATGTAATTTCAACTTTTGTAATTTTTCAGTAATTTTCAGACTGTTTGGCTGCTCTTTTAAAAAATTCCTCCCAGGAATAAATGTAGGATCGGACTGTTTTTCTTAGAGTGTGTTGGTACTCATATGGTAAGCTTCTGGTGTCCCGTAACAGTTTGTAAAGCATTAGATGCACAAATCCCATGTTTTTTCCCTATTAGGTAAACTATTATCTAGCATACTGTAAAAATGAACTAGAATGAAAAGTAACGATTTAATGTCTATACTAAAATGTTACAGAAAAGGTAATGTTACAATGTAAAATTGTAAAACCCAAGAAATGACCATTTGGACGCTTTCTACAGAATCAGGTTTAGACAAGTAAATTATTTAATTTCATGTTTGAAATTTTTAAATGATTAGAAAAACTGCATTCCTCAAGCATGCAGTTCTGTTTCAAAAGTTATTATGAGAAAAATACCAAACAAATACTAAATACATATACATTTATATTTATAATATTGTGAAATGTTACTGCAATTTAAAATAACTTCTATACAGATTCATTTTAAAATGTAATTTATTTCTGAGGTCAAACCAGAATCTTCAGGTTAGAGTCTTCTAGAAATTCTAATATGATTATTTTCTGCTCAAGTATCTTTATATATTTCTAATAGTGTGAAATATTGCAATTTAAATTAACTTCTATACAGATTCATTTTAAAATGTAATTTATTTCTGATGTCAAACCAAAATCTTCAGGAAATCATTCTAAAATGCTGATTTTCTGCTCAAGTAAAAAAATGTTTTACATTTATTATAAATGTTGAAAACATTTTTTTTATGAAACAGAAATACCATTCAAAAGTTATTATAAGACAAAATACCAAACAAATGTTAAATACATATATATTTATATTTATAATATTGCAATTTAAAATAAGTTTTCTACATGGATTTATTTTTAAATGTAATTTATTTCTGATGTCAAACCAAGAATCTTCAGGTTAGAGTCTTCTAGAAATTCTAATATGCTGATTTTCTGCTCAAGTAATTTTTTTTTTAAATATATAAATGTTGAAAACTTTTTATTATGGAAAAATACCATTCAAACTTGTGCGGTAAGTCATATATAAATAAATAAATAAATAATACTTAATTATTATATTATGAACTTCCTATTTAGCAAAGAAACCTGAAAAAATGATACGTTTACAAAATATTAAGCAGCAACAAACATTGATTAAAAAAACAACATTTTATGTATTCTAATTTGTTCTCACGATACAGAAATGTTCCTGTTGTAAAACTACATCACCAGGTGTCGCTAGTGCATTCACGCTTTTATGCTTGTATTTCCCTCGCATTCTATAAATACATTTAAATTACTGAGTCAGTATTGCAGTGCGCCGCGGTTGCTCCTCCTGAGCGCTGGGGGGGCGCTGCGCCTGACGCGGTTCGGCTCGAATCGTCCCGTTCTCGGCTTCTGCGCTGCTGCGCTGCCGCTGTCCAGTCCTGAGCGTTCAGCACCGCGAGCGGTGGACAGCTCCCGACCCTCCGAGAAAAGCACAGCAGACCGCAGCAGAACCGCTTCAGCCGGCCTCATCTACCACCGGTAAGGTTATTCCCCGCTTCCCATCAAACACACGCAACAATAGCGCTGAAACAACACGGGAATGTGTGTGAACATCAGACACACACAACACACAGCGGCAGCAGCGCTACAAGCTCTTAATGTGATTAAACGCGATTATTTTCAACACGCGGATGCTTTTGTTCTTTACACTGTGTTTACGCGCCTGTGTAATTAAAATACACACAAAAGACGTTTAAGTAGAATATCTTCCGTGTTTAAAGCGCTCTCATCTTGAGCTGACAAAGCGCTGTTTTCGATAAGAATGAACGATGGGCTTTAGGATTGAATTTATAGATTTAAATGATATAGTTGCTCGAGATTGCTTTTGATCAGATAACAGCCCCGTGATGATTTATGACGGTAATCATCATTAGAAAACTGATCCGAGCCTTAGAGAAGCAGCCTGGGTGAATCTCATAAAATCTATCAAAAATGTGCCCCAGATCATATTTGTTCTTTCCCAGCTAACAGATGTATGTTATAGAAACGTTATTATAGCGTTATTTAAAGGTTGCAAAATTGTCTAATTCTACTAACTTTATTTCCACCCCAAATATAACGTTATTTGAACGTATGTTCTTAATATTCTGATAACGTTAAAATGTTTCTTGACGTGATTAGAACGATATTTAAAGGTTCTTAGAACGTTCATCAAGTATCATCATAAGGATCTTGTTATAAGAACGTTTTCTCAACGTTATGAGAACATATATCAAATAATAAAGTTATAAGATCGTAACATTCACATTACTTTAAAAGCATTTTGTCACAACATTTATTTAACGTCAGCTAGGTTATTATGTACAAATTCAAGTTCTTTTGTTGATGCGCGTTTACTAATTTTGCAGTATTTATAATAAGTTTGTACGAAATACATAGTAATATACAGTGTTGGGGGTAACGCATTACAAGTAACGCGAGTTACGTAATCAGATTACTTTTTTTTAAGTAACTAGTAAAGTAACGCATTACTTTCCATAAAAAGTAACTAAGTAACGTAATTAGTTACTTTTTTATGGAGTAACGCAATATTGTAATGCATTACTTTTAAAAGTAACTTTCCCCAACACTGGTAATAAACTATGTGTATCATTTTAAATACATAATTACCTTCTCATATTTATGCATTATTGTTCTTATTCCTGTTTAAAATCTACTAAAATCTTAGTATTTTTTTTACTGTGCTTTTGCTTTTGAACAGTAAAGCTGCAGAGATGAGGTTCATCTGTGTTTTAGTGAGGGTCTCTGTGCTCCGCTCACCCTTACATGAAACACTCTGCACCCTCTTTATTGAGGGGTCACTGGCTGCTGGTTGTTCAGAACGAGACAAATGTGCCCACTTAACGGAGGGGAGTTAGTTATCCACAGCTGGCTGTCGATAATTTCCCAGGGTGCCGTTTTAGTCTGCATATCCCTAGTAATGTAGATTTATTCAGCATGCAGGCTGATTTGAGAAGGTTTAGTGAATAGACGTGTCAAGGTAAAGCGGTATAAAGGTAAATACTTCTCACTAAATGTTTAGTTTCATTCAGAGGCTGTAGCAATGACATGCATGCTGCAGAACTGGTGTTTTTTAGCTCTTTAAAGCTTAACAAAACAATGTGTCTGGACCCTTAACACTGTTAAGATGCTAAACCTTTTGTTAGAAATGTTAGAAATGTTAGAAATTCAAATAGGAAGACTTTAAAGATGTGCAATGTTTGCTGGATCGTTTTTTGGCTGCTGGTCTGTGGGACAGAAAATTCATTCCGATCAGTTCTGTGTGTGTGTGTGTAAACATTGAGAGGCTCTCATAGTAATTTGTTTAAAATATGAGCGGTGCTTCCCTGTGCAAAACTCACCGGCACCATCCTAAGCTGTTTTGAGTGTTTGTTAAGGTTTTGCTAAGTGGTTGTGAGAGTATTCTGGTTGCCGGGGTGTTGCTAGGGTTTGCTGGGTGGTTGCTAGATGGTTTCCTATTGGTCTAAGTAAAAATAGCATCCTTCAGTGTGCGTCTATGGGATTTTTTTCATCTATTTTATTTTCCTGCACTCTCAGAAAAAAGGTACAATTGTCACTTGAGCGGTACCTTGAGAGGAACTAATATGTGCCATTTAGATACTAATATGTACACTTTAAGTACAAATATGACCCTACTAAAATGTCATCTTTAAGGGTAAAAAAAGGTACAAAGGTGTAGCTTTTGAAAGGGTGTAGTCCCAGTAGCAGCTTTTGTACCTTTTGTCCTGAGAGTACAGGTGAAAATTGTAAGTCTAATCATTTATTGAAGTAACAGCACACCTCTACTTTGATACAATTTGATGATTTGATTTTGATTGCACAGAATTGCAGATGTTATTAGCTGGGCTTTAAGTTAAGATTTGAACAAACGTCAAACTTCTAGTAGTGATGATTGACTCTACAATGATCAAAATCAATACACTGCCTTTAAATTCATGCTGGTCCATTTGTTGGTCGTGAAAATTGCCCAAGTCTGTTTGCAGCATTCTTTTATAGTCTAAACATAAATAATTTTGCACTTCATAGAAATATTTGGAGAGCAGAGAGTTTCTGATTGGCTGTGAGTGTCCTGATTGACAGCAAAATATTTAGGTGACTTAGTAAATTTTGCACAGTTGTATTGCAATCCAGTCAGTCAGTCATATTTGTGACCCTGGACCACAAAACCAGTCATAAGGGTCAATTTTTCAAAATTGAGATTTATACATAATCTGAAAGCTGAATAAATAAGCTTTCCATTGATATATGGTTTGTTAGGATAGCACAATATTTGGCCGACATACAACTATTTGAAAATCTGGAATCTGAGGGTGCAAAAAAATCTAAATATTGAGAAAATCATCTTTAAAGTTGTCCAAATGAAGTTCTTAGCAATGCATATTACTAATCAAAAATGAAGTTTTGATATATTTACAGTAGGAAATTTACAAAATATCTTCATGGAACATGATCTTTACTTAATATCCTAATGATTTTTGGCATAAAAGAAAATCGATAATTTTGACCCATGCAATGTTTTTTTGGCTATTGCTACAAATATACCCCAGCAACTTAAGACTGCTTTTGTGCTCCAGGGTCACATTTATTTATAAAGCACATTTAAAAACAACAACTGTTGGCCAAAGTGCTGTACAAAGTTTGTAACACGTACCCTAATAAGTAAACATAGAACACACTAACAAACAATACACTACAATTGTACCACTACACCTACGTATGAATCCATGTTGACTGCTGATCACAGATCAGATGTGTTTGTCTGTTTCAAATGGAGGCTACAATTGTTTGCATCATCATCAAACCAAATGACAGACTTGAAACCGTCTGTATGCGCCCCCCCAGGGACCACGTGATCTCATGAATATTCATAGGTATTTTTTTTTACACAAATAAAGTATCAACATATTGACAGCTTCTAAAATGCAAACCCTTTTATGCAAACCTAAAATAAAATCGATTGCAACAAATAATTAGTGCATATTTTGTATGTCTCTAAAGCATATTTGTCAAATGTACAGCATTTATATATAGAAGTTACAGATGCATTGATATTTTAGAAAATACAGTAAATCATTTTGCAGGCAAAAAAAAAAAACTCCATTGATGGTCTTTTAAAAGTAACTGTTTGTACTGTGCATTCATAATAATTTCTAATATTTCATTACATTATATTGTCGAACAATGAAAAAATTGTGAAACCATTTTTATCTAGAAATTGCTTGTACATTGCACAAATAATTACAAAGAAATGGCAAGTAGCACATTGAATTAAAGGTGACTTCGGTTTTTGCAGTGTAGATATTTCACCAATTCCAATCTTTTTCGAATGGACTCTTACAATTGCCGTTAAGCTGCAGTACAAAAATGTGCACTTTTTATGTGTGAATGTCAGTGAAAACAAATGCGATCACCTTTGTAGGATGCTGCGTTTAAATCCGGGTGTCCGGAAGTCGACTCGGTTTCTCTCTCACCCCATTTTCCTCTTTCCTCTCAGCCTCCATTTTATCAAATGTGTCTCCTCCTAATTCTCCCATCCGTCATTCCCCTGAAGGGCACACGGATCCTCGGGGGGCTGGTTAACATGCGTGCGTGTGTGTGTTTTCCAGCATATGTCTGTCCTCTAACCACACACTGGAGTGTGTTTAATGCTAAATGGGAATGTTGACTCTCAGCAGGCTTCTGTCTCTTTTTTCCGGTCTATTCTTGTCTATTCGTTTTTAGAATTTCACAGCAGCATCGGTCTGTAAACGTCTTAGAAAGGCAGAAGAATTAGCAGGAATACATGAAGACCTTTTTTGCAATGACTGTCTGTCAAAAACTAAGAATGCTTCACAGACATTATTCAACTCAAAAAGGCTAAATATATAGTTGTGCTTGTTTCATCTGGTTTAATAGATTTGATGCCACTAACTAAAAGGAATAATTCACCCCAAAAACTGAACATTTGCTGAATCCTCAGGCCATGTAGATGAGTTTGTTTAGAGCTTGTAAAGTTTTGGCTTGTAAACAGTGCTTGATCTGTGCAGATTTCTCTCCTGATTCAGACCAGACGACGTTATTGCTGGACGAATCAATGGTTTAAAGTTAAAAAAACATCTTAATGATGGATTTGTTTCTTACAAACACGCAGCTTTTCTCTTCTCAAGACATTAACTGATGGACTGGAGTGGTGTGGATTACTTGTGGATTATTGTGATGTTTTTATCAGCTGTTAAATTTATCAACCCGAAAATGAAATTGAAAACAAAAATCATCATATACTTCCTTCCTCCAATGAAACACCAAAGAAGATGCTTTGCAGAAGATGTTTTTCATAATGGTAGCTGGGCTTCAAAAAGAAAAAAATAGCACCATGAATGCATCATAAAATCAGTTCATATCATACATTTTATTTCAAGTCTTCTTTAGTCGTACAATGCCTTCATTATTCATTATAAGCCATTATTCAATGAATGACGCTTCATGCCAGACGTGACATG